GAATGGAATGAAAATTAATTCACTACCTTATTTATTTGCTGTGTTGGGAAAAATCCCAGAACACAGCTTTTATACTTTCACAGTAATTATATGCAAAAGATATAAAGGAAGTCAGTGTAGTTGTCATCTTCTACTTTTTTTTCTTTCCCTGTTCAGTTTTCAGCTCCTACCCCACTCCCAAGTGCTGTAGTTGAAATAATACTGGTTTGGGGACATTGTAGAAAACTGGTCATAAGTGTTGCATAGTGTCCATAGGACTTGAGTAAAGGTATTTCCAAATGGCGTAGTAATGCACTGCAGCTGCCGTGGCCACAAACAGGTGCCAGATGGCATGAGCAAATGGAAAGATGCCATCACTCTTGAAGAACACAACTCCGACCTAGGCAATAAATTAAGCCTGTGAAGCCTCCACAGGCAAGTTCATGAAGTTCGTCAGTGTTATTCATTGATGTTACCACCAAGGCTGGAGAAAATCCCATCATGAGATGGAAAAAGAATTCAACCACTTTATACTTTTAATGGTAGAGAAATACATGAATGGTTACTCCAGTTGCCAGGAGCCAGGTAAACCAATGCATATGAGATGCCAGGGGTCCAAGTTCATGGAGATTTAACCATGGAGCATAAGAAGCAGCAATGAAGAAATAGATAACCATTATATCACACATGTGGAAACAAAGCTCCACTGTCCTTAAGTGGCTCTTTGTCCATGATATAATATTTTCACGTTTACTGTAGAGATAATGAAGAGGGCACAAAGGCCCATTCCATAAAGCCATGCTGTTAGCTTTTCCGAGCAGTCATCAGACTGCCACTGGAGGAGGGCACTGCTCACAATGGCTGGGACAGTGAGGAATGCATGTGTACAACAGTTAGCAGCATGTTCCTACCAAGTTGGTATGTAGCAGCCATTGGCTAGGGCCCAGTGGTTCATGAACTGCTGGAATCGATTCTTGAACCGCATTGATCCTCCACTCCTCCTGGCGTGGAGGGGGCAGTGTACCTCCGTCTAATCAGCAACGGTGGCATAGTGTGTGGCCCTCATGGGCTTGGGCTGCTCTGGGAGCCCATCTGAGTGCCCCATGGAGCTGCTCAGCTGCCAGAGTGGACAGGCTGGGGATTGGGACAGGGCCAGGGCTAGACCAGGCCAACTCCTTTGTTTTAAGATATATGGCTTGCAAATATTTTCTCCCAGTCATGGGTTATCTCCTCACTCTGTTAATGCTTTCCTTTACTGTGCAGAAGCTCTTTAATTTGGTGCAATATCGTTTGTTTACTTTTATTTTTCTTTGTGCATTTAGAGACCTATCCAAGAAATTGATGTTCAAACCAATTTTGTGGAGCTTTTTTCTCATTTTATCTAGTATCTTTACAATTTCAGGTCTTACATTTAAGTCTTTTATCCATTTTGAGTTGATTTTTGTATATAGTGTGAGATAAAGGTTCAATTTAATTCTTCTGTAAGTGGATATTCAGTTTTCTCAAAACCATTTATTAGGGATACTGTCCTTTCTCTGGTGTGTGTGTTTTTGGCATCTTTGTTGAAGGTCAATGGACTGTAAATATTTGGATTTACTTTTGAGCTTTCTATCCTGTTATATTGGTTGATGTGTCTTTTTGCCAGTACCACGCTGTTTTGATTACGATAGCTTGTATTTCGAAACTAGAGAGTATGCTGCCTCCTTTTTTGTCCCTTCTATTCCAAATTTTTTGGCTATTCAGGGTCTTTTCTAGTTCCATACAAATTTTAGGAATTTTTTTCTATTTTTGTGAAATGTGATATTGCAGTTTTGATTAGAGTTGCACTGAATTTGTAGATCACTTTGGTATCATATGGACATTTTGATGATATTCCTCTAGTGCATGAATGTAGGATATAGTTCCCTTCATTTCTGTTTTTAATTTCTTTCATCAATGTTTTGTAGTTTTCAGTGTACAGATCGTTCTTCGTGTCCTTGATTAAATTTACTCCCAAGTGTTTATTTCTTTATGCTATTGCAAATATAATTGTTTTAATTTATTTTTCAGATAGTTCTTGGTTAGTATATAGTATTTTTCAACCTTTTTTTAAATATCATGGCACACTTGAACCTGTAGTTAAACTTCCATGGCACACTTAAATTATGTTGATCAAAAAAAAAAAAAAAAAAAGAACATACTTACTGTGCTTTGAACTTCTTTTGAAAACAATTTAATAATCTTTAAGAATTTTCGTGGCACACCTAGGATCCTCTCATGGCACACTGGTTGAAAATCACTGGTTTATAGAAATACTGCTGATTTTTGTATGTTGATTTTCATAACCTGCAACTTTATAGAATTTGTTTATCAATTCTAACAGTTTTTTATGAAGTCTTAGGGTTTTCTATGCATAAGAGCATCATCAGCAAACATAATTTCACTTCTTCCTTTCCTACAGGAGTGCCTTTTATTTCTTTTTCTTGCCTAATTGCTTTCCTAGGACTTCTAGTACTCTGATGAATAGAAGTGGTGAAAGTAGGTATCCTTGTCTTGTTACTGGTGTTAGAGGAAAAACATTCAACTTTTCATTGAATGTGATGTTAGCTGAGGGCTTGTCGTATTAGTCCTTTATTACATTGCAGTACATTCTCTCTATACCTATTTTTGAGGGTTTTTAACATGAATAGATGTTGAATTTTCTTAAATGCTTTCAATATACCTTTTGGGACCATGTGGTGGCTGTTTTTCATTTTGCTAATGATGATGTATAACATTTATTGATTTCCATATATAGAACCATTCTTGCATCCCTGGGACAAATCCTCCTTGATCATGGTGAATGATACTTGGAATGCACTTTTTTTTTTTTTTTGAGGCAATGTTTCTTTCTATGGCCCTAGATAGAGTGCGTGGCATCATCATAGCTCACAGCAACCTCCAACTCCTTGGCTCAAGCAATCCTCCTGCCTCAGTACTGTGAATAGCTGCGACTACAGGTCAGCCAGATTGTTTTCCATAAACTCCTGAGCTCTAATGATCCCAGAGTGCTGGGATTACAGGCATGAGCCACATTGCCTGGCCTCTAATAGGCTACTGAATTTGTTTGCTAGTGTTTTGTTGAGTAATTTTGCATCTACATTCCTCAGAGATATTGGCCTGTAGTTTTCTTATAGTGTTCTTCTTGGGCTTTGGTGTCAGGGAAATGCTGGCCTGATAAAATAAGTTTAGAAGTATTCCCACCTCTTTAATATTTTTGGAAGAGTTTGAGAAGCATTGATATTAGTTTTTTAAATGATTGGTACAATTCAGGAGTAAAACCATCATGCCATGGACTTTTCTTTGATGGGGACTTTTTATTGCTGATTTAAGGTCCTAGAAATTGGTCTATTTCTTTCTGATTCCATGTTGGTAAGGTTGCATGTTTCTATGAATTCACCCATTTCCTCTGGGTTGCCCAATATATGTTCATGTATAGTTGTTTGTAGCAGTCTCTTATGATCCTTTTTTATTTGTGTTATCAGCTATAATGTCTTTTTTTGTTTCTGATTTAGTTTGTGCCTTTTTTTTCTTTGTTAGCTTAAGACTCTAGCTAAAGATTTGTCTGATTTTATCTTTTAAAAAACCGACTCTTAGGTTTGTTGTTCTTTTTATTTTTCTAGTTTCTGTTTTATTTATTGCAGCTCTAATCTTTGTTATTTCCTTCCTTGTGCTATATTTGGGCTTTTGTCATTTTCTGGTTCCTTGAAGTGTAACATCAGATTGTTATAGGTTGTTTGAAATGTTTCTTCTTCTTCCTCTTCCTTCACTTCTTCTTTTTCTTTTTCCTCCTCTTCCTTCCCTCCCTCCTTCTCCTCCTCCTCCTCCTCTATCCCTCCCCTGCTCCGCCTCCTTCTTATCTTCCTCCTCTTGCTCTGTTGTCCAGGCTAGAGTACTATGGCATCATCACAGCTCACAGCTGTTACCTCAAACTCCTGGGCTCAAGGAATCCTCCTGCCTCAGCTTCCTGAGTAGCTGGGACTATAGGTGTTCACTACCACACCTGGCTAGTTTTTCTATTTTTAGGAGAGACGGGGTCACACTCTTGCTCAGGCTGCTCTCAAACTCCTGACCTCAAGCAATCCTTCCGCCTTGGCCTCCCAGAGTTCTGGGATTTCAAGGGTGACCCACCACTCTGGCATGTTTCTTCTTTTTTGATGCTTGTGTTTATTGCTATAAACTTTCTTCTCAGGACTGCTTTTGCTGTGTCCTGTGAATTTCAGTACGTCATATTTCTAGTTTTAGATTTTCTTGAGATAATTTAAAATTCCCCTTTCAATTTGTTCTTTGACCCATTGCTTGTTTAGGACTATATTGTTTAATTTCCACATATTTGTGAGTTTTCTGAGATTCTTCCTATTGTTGATTTCTAGTTTCAGGTCATTGTGGTTAAAAAAGATTCTCAATATGATTTCAGTCTTCTTAAATTTAACCCTTGTTTTGTGGTCACATATGAGATCTATCCTGGAGAATGTTTTGTGTGTACTTGAGAAGATTGTGTATCTTGTTGCTATTAGATGGAATGTTCTGTAAGTGTCTAGTATGTTCATTTAGTCTAAGGTATAGTTCAAGTCCCATATTTCCTTATTGATTTTCTCTCTAGATGATCTATCCAGTGTTGAAAGTGAGGTATTAACATCTCCTACTGTTATTGTGTTATAGTCTGTCTCTCCAGATCTATTAATATTTGTTTTATTTAGGTACTTCACTGTTGGGTACAAATATATTACATAATAATTGTTATGATTTCTTGATGAATTGACCCCTTTATCATGATATAATAACCTTCTTTGTCTCTATAGTTTTTGACTTAGTCTATAGTATTTTGTTTGATATAAACATAGCTATCTTTGCTCTCTTGATTTTCATTTGTGTGGAATATCTTTTTTCACCCCTTCAATTTCAAAAGGGAAATGACCATTTCAGGAGAATATTTCAGTGTTATTTTTCATGCAAAGATAGTTACATTTAAAAATCTTTTTTTTTTTTTTAATTTTTAGGATCTGGGGACTTTGGTGATTTAAATCTGGAAGATGCAATTCTAGAAACTTCCTCAACAAAGCGTGAGTAGTAAATCAAATAAACTATTAAAAGCAAACAATAGTAACTAATATATACTGACTTAAGTATATATTATTAATATATATAGACTTAAGGAAAACAATTGGTAGTTTGTATTTCACTTGATCAGATTAAATACGGTTATCTTAAGTTATTTTATCTAAAAGAAAATCTGAATGTTTAAAATTCTTTGAGAATACTTAACAATGTATAATAGCTGATTGTTATTTTCTCCAGCTTAACCTTTAGCCCCTACTGATGTGAATCCCAGCAGTGGCCTCCAAGGACTGTCTTCTTAGCTCAAAAAAGGACTCGTGGAATTGAATAAGGGATTTGTATTTCTCCTTTTTGACTTTTTTTATAATGGCTTTTCTGAAAATGAGGTCTATGTGTCAGTTATCAATTTTCCTTTTAGCTTTTTGGAAAATATTTAAACCATTATTTTTAAAAATACATGAATGCTTCTGAAGCTGGGGTCTCTCTGAACCTTCTCCATTCTACTGACACCTACTCCCATCCCAAGAGGGAACTACGTCAGTCAGTTTGGAGTATGCCATTAGAGCTGTTGTTGTACAAGGTTGTAGAATTAAGTTAGTAAACTTATCCTGGAAAAAATGTTCCATACCTCACTGCTAAATTATCATTACAGTCCCCTTCAAAGTACTCCCCTTGGCAATCTGGTGACCATAGTGATATTCAGCAATGAGGTATATACCACCTTTTCTAGGATGAGTTTCCGAACTTAATTGTATGACCTTGTATGTATTATTTCACAATTTGATTTTTCGTTTAATGTGTATTGAAGACCTGAGAGAATATGTCTGTCTGTATTAGTTTATTCCAGCTACCTTAGCAATGTACCGCAAACTGGATGGCTTAAAACAATAGAACTTTATTCTGTCACAGTTATGGAAGCTAGATATTCTAAGTCAGGGTGTTGGTAAGGCCACTTTATCTCTGTGGGCTCTTGGGAAGAATCCCCTTCCTTGCCTTTTCCAGCTTTGGTTGACTCTAGATGTTCTTGGCCATAGCTGTATCACTCCAATCTCTGCCTCCATCTTCACATGCTGTTCCCACTTCTGTATCTTTCTTCTCTTTCTTGGAAGTATATTTAGTGGGTTTAAATCCTACCTGGATAATCCAGGTGAGCATCTTGAGATGCTTAACTTAATTACATCTCCAAAGATCCTTTTTCCAAATAAGGAAATTAATATATACAACAGAACTTTATTCTGCATATGTATCTACACTCATACACACACACACACACACACACACACACACACACACGTATATACCTTATTCTTTTAACTGCTGCATAGTATACTATGTACCACAGTACGCGTTCAGCAAACACCAGGGTGCTAGCCGTGTGTCAGTTACTATTTTAGACCTTGGGGATACAGCCATGAACACAAGAAACACAGTCCTGTGCCTTGTGGGACTAGCTTTCCAGTGGTGTGGATTTGGTCGTGGCCAATATTGTCATTGGCAAACCTGGTTTGTTTCCTTTTTATGCAGTTACAAATAGGGTTATAGTGGACATTCTTGTGTATGTCTTCTTTGTGCTGAAGTTTGGAACAGCAAACTGAAAGGATATGTTTGTTTTATGTTTTAATAAATTCTGCCAAGTTGTTTTCCAAAGTGGATGTGTCATTATGGACTTCTACTGATATTTTTATAATAGTCCCTGTTTTCCTACACCCACGTCCATACCAGATTTTAGCAATCAAAAATATCAATGTGACAGACAAAATAATATCTTCTTGCTTATTATATATTTCGTTGCCTATAAGATGGAGCATCATTTCATATCTTTATTGGCCATTTGCATTTTCCTCTTGTGAAATGTCTGTCCACATCCTTTCCCCGTTTTTCTGCTAAGTTGCTTGACTTTTTTAGTGGGTTTATAGGATTCTGGGTTAGAAAGTCAGGGGCTTTTGAGTCAGACTTACTGGGTCTGAACCTCTGCCACTTATTAGCTGTCACCTTGGGCAAGTCACCTGACTTCTCTGCACCCCAGTTTCCTCACCTGTTACATGAGCATAATAATAAGCCCTACCTCTTAGGATCATTGTAAGGATTATATGAGATGACCCATGTGAAGCACTCAGCATGGTACTTGGAACAAGGTGAGTACTCAATAAGCATTAGTCTTGTTGTTTGATTGACTTGATTTGAAGGACTGACTGTGGCTCAGCCTCTAGTGCAAGAGTCAAGTATACCTGCCTAGTGTATAGTGGTCTCAATGGCCAGCCAAACTCAACATAGTTCCTGCCAAAATCCAGCTGGATTTTTTGCAAAAAGAGAGAAGCTGATCCTAAAATTTATAGGGAAATTCAAGGGACCCAGCATGGCCAGAACGATCTTGAAAAAGAAGGAAATGGTGGAGGACTCACACTTTCCACTTTCAGCTCTTACGACAAACTGACAACAATCAAGACAGTGTGTGGGTGGTGCCTATAGCTAAGTGGGTAGGGCACCAGCCCTATATACAGAGGGTGGCGGGTTCGAACCTGGCCCTGGCCAAACTACAACAAAAAAATAGCTGGGTATTGTGGCGGAAACCTATAGTCCCAGTTACGCAGGAGGCTGAGGCAAGAGAATTGCTTAAGCCCAGGAGTTGGAGGTTGCTGTGAGCTGTGACACCACGGACCTCTACTGAGACCAATAAAGTGAGACTCTGTCTCTAAAAAAAAAAAAAAAGACAGTGTGGTACGGGTATAAAGATAGACAAAGAGATCAATGGAATAAAATAGTCTAGAAATAAACCTTTGTTTCTATGGTCAGTTGATTTAGCAAAAGGTACCAAGAACATTCAAAGGGGAAAGACCATCTCTTAAATAAATATCCACATGCAAAAGAATGAACTTTGGCTCCTACTCACACTATATGTAAAAATTAACTTCAAATGGATTATAGACCTACAACTGTAAGGCTCTTAAAATTTAAGTTTAGTGTATGGTATGAGGTGACAGGTTAGGACACTCGGGTCTTTTCCTGAGTGTGAATGCAATCCTCTGCATGCAGGTAGCCTCTTAAATCCCTAGGAAAATAAGTACACTTAATTTATTAGCAGTGGTGGCTTTAATGAAATTATTAACATCTCCAAAACAAACAGGACAAAACCCCAAAACAAATATATAAACAAACTCTCAATAAGTTTAGCTTCTCAATGAGGACTTTTTAATATTCCTTTCAGAGTCATGTGCTGGCCTAGCAGCCAATGTGTCTGGAACCCTTAGAACCAACAGCATGTGATGTCTGTGGTTGAATGACAGCTCTCAAGACCATATCATGCTGCCATCTTTTTCCCTATCTTAGCTTACATTTCATGTAATTGAGGTTTCAAAGAGATGGGCTTGCCTGCCTCTCCTTGGTGTAATCATTCATCTCGTGGAGACTGTTCTCTTCTGCACATTGTGTATCCCTTCTCTTATTTAAAAAGTTTCCTCAACCACCTAGGTCAGGATATTGTAAATGCCCTTCATTCATTCATTCCCCAGTGTTTCTTGGGTACCTGCTTGGCTACCAGGTACTGTTTCAAGTGCTGGGCATGCAATGTGGACATAGTCATGGTCCTTATGAAGTTCTTTTGTACATAAAATAACTTCAGATATTGCTGAGCCACTGTCAAGCAAATACAGCAGGTTGATGGGACAATGGCCCAAGGAGGGAGAAAGGTCACTTTAGAGTATGTGCTGAAGGAGCCTCTGGGGAGCAGTAATGTATGTGGAGTGCGGAAGGAGCCCTCAAGGCCAAAGGGATCAGGTATAAGACCTCTGAGACAGAAAAGATCTAAGCTCATCCCAGGGCCTGGAAGGCAACCTGTGTGGCTACAGTTTGGAAAATGCTGGAGAAAAAAACAGAAGTTGTGAGGGGAAAGATCATGCAGGGTCTTATGGGACACAGTAATAACTTTTATTGTAAGTGGAAGGGGATTCTCCTTAAGGATTTTAAGCTACTTTACTAGGATATAATTCACATCCTATGCAATTTACCCATTTCAAACATACAATTCAGTGGTTTTAAGTACATTTACAGGGTTTCACAGCCATCATTGTAGTCAATTATAGAACATTTTTGTAACTTCAAAAAGAAACCCTGTACCCTTAACCTATCACCCCCCCGCCCCAATCACATGATTCTTCTTATTCCTCCCCATCACCCAAAAGCAACTACTAATTTTTCTGTCTCCATGGAGTTCCCTATTTTGAGTATCAGTAGAATCATTCAATAAGTGGACTTTATGTCTGGCTTCTTTCACTTAGCATATTCCCATGGTTCATTAATGTTGCTTTCAGAATGCCCACCTGCCTGTGCACCCTGTGTACTCTTTCCATTTTTCTCTGTAATCATCTTGTAGGGGAACACACTTTAGATTTTACCAAATAAAACTTCTTGTGAGTGTCCCCATTTGGGGGGGAATGTGCGGGCACTGTTTGAATCCATCTGGGCTGCTATAATAAGATACCTTAGACTAGGTAATTCATGAACAACAGAAATTTATTTCTTAAAGTTCTAGAGGCTGGAAAGTTCAAAATCCAGGTGTCAGTAGATTCAGTCTGGGGAGGGCTGTTCTCTGCTTCATAGATGGTGCTTTCTAGCTATGTCCTCATATGGTGAAAGGACGAAAGAACTGCCTCCAGCCTCTTTTGTCTGGACACTAATCCTGTTCAGGAGAGCAGAGACCACATGACCCAGTCACTTCCCAAAATCCTACCTTTTAGCTCATCACCATGGGGGTTAGGTTTCAACATAAGAATTTGGGGGTGAGGGGACACAAACCTTCAGACCATAGCAGGCATCGTTATTAAACCACAGCTGGTGGAACCTACCCAGTTTTGTCTACTATTTTGGTACAGCATCATATTATAGAGAATCACTCCTGGTAGGTGTGCTATGTTGCTGGCAGCATTTGCTGAGAGCTAACAACTTTTTTTCTTGAGTTTTTTATTTTGAGAAAGGCTTCACAGAATTTTTTTTTTAATTTTTCACTACT